GCAGGAACAGGAACCGCCCGTAAGACGTCGGCCGCCAAGGGGAAGCGCAAGCGGGGGAAACGGGGAAAAAAGGGGGGTGCGGTGAAAGCGACTGACGCAGATAGTTCGCTGCAAAGCGGCGCGGGGACGGCGACGAAGAAAGGGAAGAAGTCGACGAAGAAAGGAAAGAATTCGACGAAGCAAGTCAAGAAGCCGGCCGTTTCGGCAGGCAAAAAGGGTTCCGCTGGAAAGAGGAAGCCCGGCGGGCACAAGTGGCCTCGCAAGGGCGACATAAACTCCCCTGCGACGAAATCTGCATCTGCGACCAAGACGGCGACGAAGCCTGCGAAGACTTCGCCAGCGTCTGGAAAGAAAGGCAGCGGCCGCAAGTCTGGCAAGGGGAGCAAGAAGAGACCAACTGCTGCGACTGCCCGTGCAGGTATTCCTACCTCCGCTTCTGACGGCGGGAAGTCCGGCGGGGGCAAAGGCAAGTCCAAGTCAAGCAAGTCGAGCTCGTCTGGAGGATCCGCCTCTCGTGCCGCAACTCCCGCTCGGTCGTCTAAGAACGGCAAGAAGAAAACGACCGTTCCTGACACAACGAAGGCAGGCAAGTCAACGAAGTCACCCGCGTCTTCCTCTGGAGAAGGCGCGTCGAAATCGGGAAAGGCACCCAAGGGTTCGGGCGCAGATGCGTCCACGCCAAGCAAGGGCTTGAAGCCATCCACCAGCCCCAAACCTCCGCCACCCAAGGATCAAAGCTCTGATGCAGGCTCGGATGATTCAGGCTCGGATGCAACACCCTCTCCTCCCGCTTCTCCCCCCAAGCCAAGCACGGGGAAGAAGAACAAGCCAGCGCCGCCAGCAGTCGACACTGGTGCCACTAACGAGGATGGGGCGAGCCCGTCTCCGGCTCCTCCTGCACAGATGGTGTGTGAGAAGCACAAGGGGCAGCAGCTGATGGTGATGGATGGAAATCTCTTCTTCACCGGTCAAGTGGAGAAATGCGAGGCTGCTTGTATCAAGGATGCCACCTGCCTCATGTACACCTTCTCGGGACTCAGCTGTCAGCTATTTACGGCTAATATGACAGCGAGGCCTGTCAAGGCGTGCTTCTCGCGTAAGTGCCAGTGGGGGAAGTGTAGAGATGCAGAGGGTGATGGTAGCGAGGAGGACACTAGCGGGGATAGCAGTGGTGGGGATGAGAGTGGGGGAGGTGATGATGGGAGCAGTGGGAGTGACTCCAGTGGAGATGGCAGTAGTGGGGGGGGTTCAAGTGCAGACGATGGCTCTAGTGACTATGATGGGTCATCGGGCAACGAATCTGGTGCCGATAGTGGTGGGACCATCGACTATGGGGAATAATTGAAGGCTTGGCGAATGGAATACAACTGGGTAACGAAGCCAGTGCTGGCAAGTACAGCAAGGTTCTAACAAGGTGAAATCTACTTCTTGGCTTGCCTTGGCGACTAACCCAACTCATCTCCGTTGGCGGTTCCCTACCCTGGGTGTGTGTGAAGCATAGGGCTGCTCCAATTTAAATGCTATTGCATTTTTATGATAAATGTTGAATAGAAACATTGATGTGAACCAATCAAACAACCACCCTGAGGTTGATGCAAGAATAATGGTATATAAGATAGGATTAGTATATGATAACTGCTGTGAGAATGGGATCATTTATTTGTTCCATGCCAAATCACTACATGCTTAGATTTCTTGTGTAGGGTGCCATCGGGAAACCCCAAAGCCCGATCGATTGGTGGTGGGCTCAGCATGATCTTGGATGCTGGCGTGGACAAAACCATTCAGCGCCTGCCGCGTGGAACCATCGCCCAAATTACCGCACCACAGCTAGCCCCGCTGTGCTGTTCCATTGTGCCCCGCATCAACGTGGCCCCAGAATTTCGCCGCGCCTGAGGTGAATACTTTCGCCCGCGGATGGGGGTAGGGGGGTGCAGCAAAGACGCAGCCAGCCGGACCATGGGGTTGTTGGGGTGTGGTGGACACTCGTCAAAAACACCATTCTCTTGCCCAACATTCTAGGACTGGAATTCCAGCATCAGATTCCTCCCAGTTCTGCATCTGGCCCTGCTCTGAAATCTCTTACCTAGTTCTAGTTCCCAGCCCCAGCCACCATGTCTTGGCAATCGTACATCGATGATCACCTTATGTGTGCCCTTCCGCACGGAGGGCAGCTGAAAGCGGCTGCTATTGTTGGTAATGATGGCTCTATTTGGGCCCGGAGTGCTGACTTTCCAGCGGTAAGTTGGGAAATAGATTTAAGCCAAGAACCATTAGTGGCTTTGTTTCTTATTCTCCGTTGAAGCCTTAACCTGCTGTTTTGTTTGTTTTTCGCGGATCTTCAGTTGACCCCAGCTCAGGCAATAGCAATCTGGGAAGGATTTGAAGACAACGCTGCGGCGCTTGCGGGGAGTGGTCTGTTTCTGGGTCCGATGAAGTTTATGGTCGTCCAGGGTGACCCGGGTGTTGTCATTCGTGGCAGAATTAAGGTATACAATGCAGCGGCTATAATAATGTGCTGGTTCGCTCCCCCTTCTTTCTTCGACCAATTCTCATCATCGCTGCTCCAACTACGAAACTCTGACGTGGTTTTCCCTCTTGCAGAACCCTCTTGTTGGTGGTTGCTGCATCAAGAAGACGGTCGGCGCAATGGTGATGGGCATTTTCGAGGAGCCTGTTGCTCCAGCTGACTGCAATATGGTTGTTGAGAACATGGGTGATTACCTCTCCGGCCAGGGTATCTAGGATGCTCCGAGTCAAGAAAATGGCTCATGTGTATGCTGCAAGCATTCCAAAAGCCAACATGGGACCTGTTTCGTATTTAGTGAGATACCCTGGTGCTCTGTGGTCCTATGCACTGATGCATCTCAGCATGGCGGCTACCGGTATCCGTGTAAGCTACCTAGGTCTTCTTTACGTCACTGGCGCGTGTAGGGGCTGAATTTCTAGGCATCTCCGTATGCATTCATGAATTTACTTGTATCCTGCTTCAGGAAGCGTTACCGTAATCCCCAGGATACCAGCGCTGCCGTTAATTTAGCCCATGGCTCCTACACAGTGTAAAGGCGAATAGAGAAAAATTCGTTATAAGCACCTTGTGTGATGGCTTCTCCTAAAAGTGCCCCCTAGTGTTAAATGCAGAAAGCTATATACTATGATCTTAGACTGAAATAAATCGTCTGATGTTGTAAGACACTAAGTATTAAACTATAAACATGTACACTTGGCAAATCCTCAAGAGTTGGTCCAGGATCTTTGCTGGAATGGTAGACTAGTAAGACAACAGAAGTCTTGTAAAATGTAAAGGTCAAGGTTGAATAACCTGAGTACGTGAACTTGTGAGTAAGCAAAGTTAATAATGAAAAAGACCTAACAAGGATTTATAGTTCTAGGAAAAGTACCTATTCGCTTATGTATCTTTTCGTCACTATTGTCAAACATGTGTATCTCATATACTTTGCATAGACTGTATAGGGTCATCTCTTAGAGGGTACTATCAAAATTGGAATTGAATAATTGGTAAAGTGAGAGTACACACAAATATACCTAAGTGTTGTACCTTCTAAGAGGTAACCCTATACAGTCTATACAAACATGACAAATACAGATGTTTGACACACCCCCTAGACTGCATAGGGGAATACCCTAAACAAGCAGCTCAGGGCGGCACTACTAGTCCAACCTCTGAGACAAGGGTCTGAGAGACCAGTCAGAACGAGTACAGACAAGGCAAGAACAAGACCAGGGCGGCACTACTAGTCCAGCCACTGGGAGATGACACAAGTCCAGTCTGAGTATACATATAAAGGACAGTACAAGTCAAGGTCCTAGCAAGTGAGAAGCGACAGGAACTAGACCAAGCTGTACACAGTGCCGCTGATGATCTTTAGACGCAAGCGCCTTCGTAAAGATATCAGCTGTGTTGGCACCTGAGGCCAAGTGTACTACGCGAGCCTGACGTCGCAGCTGTAGCTCACGCAGGAGGAAGTACCGCAGCTGAATGTGCTTCGCTCTGCCCTCGAGTCGAGGCTTCTGACACAGGAGGATCATGGCCCTGTTGTCAGCGAACAGGACCGGGGCAGAGCTAGGCCGCTCACCTAAGTCAGTGAGCAAGAAGGTCAGCCAGCGGAGCTCCTGTGCCGCCATGGCACCAGCGTAGATCTCAGCCTCACAGCTGGACTGTGCAACAGACGAGGAGCGAGTAGCTCTCCACGAGACGGCACCTGAGCCAAGGCTGAAGCAGTAGCCCTGGGTAGACCTGAGTGTCTCAGCGTCGTCTGCCCACGAAGCGTCTGTGTGTCTAGTAAGGACCAGTGGCCTGCGTCCTCCAAGCACTAACCCCATGCCCGATGTACTAGCAAGATAACGCAGAACCCTCTTAGCGGCAGACCAGTGCTGCGGTCGGTGTCTGCCTGTGGCCACAAAGCGCGCCAGGATGCTGAGAGGGTATGCGAGATCTGGGCGAGTGCAAGTCATCAGGTACATGAGGCAACCCACCAGCTCTGCGTAGGGGCCGCTGGGCTCTACCACCTCCTCAGGTACTGGAGCGGAGAGTCTGTGGTCTACAGGCAGAGGGGTGGGCTGTGCAGAGGAGAACTGAAGGCTGAACCTCTGAAGGACCTGGCGCACCAAGTGTGACTGAGTCAGGGTGATGGTGCGCGCAGCTCTGTCCCTGGAGATCTGCAAGCCAAGGTAACGGCGCAGTTCTCCAAGGTCAGTGCAGGTGTGTCTCTTCAGCAGCTCTGCCTTCACGGAGGCCAGTGCGTCCCTGTCTGCCGTGGCAAAGACCAGGTCGTCGACGTAAACAAGGATGTAGAACGGAGTCTGGCCAGCACGAACGAAGAGTGAAGGGTCTGCGGAAGACGGAAAGAACTGCAGGTCAGCAAGGGTAGCAGGAAGAGTGTCGTGCCACTCACGGGGAGCCTGGCGCAGGCCGTAGACGGGGCGCCGCAGGAGCCACTGGGTCCCAGGAGGGAAGGTGCCAGTAAAGCCCGGAGGGCGACGCAGGTAGACCTGCTCGTATAGGCTGCCCTGAAGGAAGGCAGTGGAGAAGTCGAGGGAGTGAAGCTCGTAGTCACGCTGAGCAGCTAGGTGTAACAGAACCCGAAGAGTAGTCATCTTTGGGGTCGGAGCGAAAGTCTGGAAGAAGTCCACCCCCTCGCACTGACTGAAGCCTCTAGCCACATAGCGCGCCTTGAAGACAGGCGGCTCTCCAGGAGGGCGCTTCACCTTGAAGAGCCAGCGGCCATCGACTACGTTCACCCCAGGTGGGGGAACTGCGTCGACGAAGGTGCCGGTGGATCTCCAAGATGCCATCTCCTGCTCCATGAAAGCTATCCACTGTGAGGCCCAGGGTCCCGAAGTCGCCTCAGCGTAAGTGCGAGGGGTCGGGATGTCGAAAGCGTCTGGGTCACCCTCAGGGACTAGCAGCATGGAACAGAGATGGGGAGCAGCCTCGGAGAGGAAAACAAGCTCGAACTGGCGGTCCTCCAGGACGTCATTGCCAAGGGCAGGAGCACCCCCGACAGACGGAGGACAGGCAGGGTCAGAGACCAGAGCGGTGGCGTAGTCAAGGCGGCGGGTAGAGGCGAAGTCAGCGACAGCAGCGACAAGAGCGTCAAGGCACGAGACCGGAACAGACGGGTCGGTAACGAGAGAGGCAAGGACCCGAGGAACGAGAGGACGAGCGGCACGAAGGTAGTCGGACAGCGGGGGGGGCGCGACAACAAGGGAGGACGGAGGAGGCGACGGGAGAAGGGGAGGACGAGACGCGTGGGAACGAAGCAACATAGGGTGGGAGCGCAAGAGGCAGGACGAGCACGGGAGGGGCGGTGAGACCAGACGTGCGACGGAGGAGTCGGGTCAGGAGACAGGGGAGGGGACACAGGAGGGGAACGAGGGGGGAGACGAGCCGGGGACGAGTCCGGCGGAGGGAAAACAGGGCCGTAGACAGGAAGAGGAGGAGACGGTCGGGGAGGAACCGACGCAGGGTCGGGGGACGGAAGGCCGAGCAGGCGAAGGGCGGACACCGGCGGGGACCGCTGCTGCGGCGGCACAACGGCGACACCTGGACCGCAAGCTGCTCCTCGGCAACCACCGGCACTCTCCATACCAGCACCCCCAGAGGGACCACCCCCAGGGCGACCGGGACGAGCACCCCCAGAGTCAGCGAACGGGGGCTGCGACGGCGGCGGCGGCGGCGGCGGAGGCGACGGCGGCGGCGGCGGCGGCGACGACGACGACGGCTGCAGCAGCGGTAGTGGCGGTGGAGGAGGGGACTGGGGAGGGGACACCTGGGGAGGGGCGGCCGGCGAGGACTGCACAGGAGGGCCACCAGAGGCAGAAGACTCCTCAACCGGGTCCACGGACGGAAGGGGGGTGACGTGGGACACACCAGAGGGGGCGGGACGGGGAGGAGGAGGAGGAGGGGCAGGGACTACCGGGGAAGGGGTGACCAGGAACAGGGGGGGGGTAACCGGGGGACCACGGTGGGGAAAGCGGCGGTAGTAGGAGGCCGACTCGTCAAAGGTGACGTCACGAGAGTGAAAGAAGCGGTGAGACGGCGGGTGGTAAAAGTGCCAGTCGGACGCGTCAAGGGGAAAACCGAGGAAGACGCAGGGAAGGGTGCGGGCAGTGAGCTTGTCCGTGCCGGAGGCACGGACGTGAGAAAGGCAGCCCCAGACGTGGAACGCAGACGCGTCACCAGGGGACCCAGTCCAAAGACGGGTCGGCGAAACCTGCGGCTGCTGAGGGTGCGGCCACAGGTTAAGCTGGTGAGAAGCGTAGCGCACAGCGAACGGCCACAGAAAATGGGGTGCACCGGCATGGATCATGGAGGTGCGAGCGACCTCCATGACCAAACCGATGCGTCGCTCAGCGACCCCATTCTGCTGTGGGGAGTCCGGTAGGGTGAACGTCTGGGTGATGCCCTCCGCACGACAAAAGCAACCAAGGACACCGGAGGCAAACTCGCCACCACGGTCTGAGTGAAGACGCAAGACAGGGAGACCGCGGTGGACACGCGCAGAGACAAGCCAGGGGATGAGAGCGCCAGGCACGTCGGCCTTGCGCTCCAGGGGAAAGACTGTGGTGTAACGAGTGAAGTCGTCGACAAGCACAAGGAAGTAGCGCTCTCGACGCGGCCTAGGGACGGGGGCGGGGCCCCAGACGTCCAGGTGCAGGGTCTGCAGCGGCGCGGCGGTAGGGGGAAACGAGGAGGAGTGAGGGGCACGGTGAAGCCGACCCTCGACACAAGGCGTGCAAGGTGGGGCTGGAGAGGAGGGAAACGCGGGGAGCGAACCTGGGAGACCAAGGACGAGACCGTGCTGAGACATGTGACGCAGACGCGGGAGCGCAGGGTGACCTAGGCGGTGGTGCCACAGGAGGGTCGGGTGAGTGAGGGAGCGACAGGAGCAGGCAGCAGCAACCTGGGTAGACGCAGCCACCTGGGGGGGCGCTCCAGCCGGGGGGGTCACGGTGTCCAGAGTGAACAGGCCGGACACCGGGTCCCGGGGGAACGTGGACAGGGGGGCACCAGTGGCGGCCTCGGTACAGACAGCATACCGCTCGTGACCAGGGAACGTAGTGGTGACGCCAAGGTCCTGGAGGCAGCCGACACCAACTAGGTTCCTGGAGAACGAGGGGATATGCAGACCTGTAAGAGAACCCGAAGGAATCGTCGGACAGGGAAGGGTGGTGGAACTGCGGGCGACTACCGGACCGCCGGAGGGGTCAGCAAGAGAAACGGCATCAGGAACAGGAAGCGGCGTCAGGGTGGTAGAGTCGCGGAAGAAACACCGAGAGGCGCCAGAGTCCAAGGTGAAGGAAAGCGAAGCCGAGGGGTCTGGCGACGGAACGACGGCGGAAGCACCAAGACTACACAAAGCAGGGGATCCTACGCCTGACGCAGCAGGGGAGGCTAAGCTAGGCACACCTACACTAGGCAACAGTGAGTAATAAGCGGGAAGCACACTAGAGTCATCAGCATACATCACATGCAGAGCAGAAACAATGGCATCCATGTCCATATCAAAAATCTGAATCTGACGACTAAGCAAACTGTGCCAGTCCGGGAGGTCTGGCGACGGG